ACTGGGTTTCGTAGTGAGCAATCCTATGTCACTCTACTGTGACAATAAAGCTGCCATCAATATTGTTACTAATCCAGTCCCGCATGATAGGACGAAACACATTGAAGTGGACAAGCATTTTATCAGAGAGAAACTTGAAAATGGAGAAGTGTGTACACCATATGTCAGCTCAGAAGAACAACTTGCAAATATCTTCACCAAAGGTCTTCATCATGTGCGGCACAAAGATTTGTGTGACAAGTTGGGTGTGGTTGACATCTATGCTCCAACTTGAGGGGAAGTGTTAAAATATTTTAGTTGTTGGTGTTAGGGTCTGTTTGGTTAGTTAAAGTGTTTTTTTATTTCGTTTTCACTTCTGTTATGTCTGTTATTGTACTCAGGGGCACAATGGTCTTTTCCCTTGTTATTTCTGCCGCCCTATATATATTATAATAAAGGCTGGCACCGCCAGCACTGTTACATTGCAAATTCCTTCTCTTCTCTTCTCTTCTCTCTTCTCTCTTCTTCTTCTTCTTCTCTTCTCTTCTCTTCCTCTTATTTCTGGCCGGCCATACTGTGAAGATATATATTTTCACAAAAGGGTTCTGAAAACATCAGCAGTTAACCACTTTGATCAGGAGCTTTAGAAAAGAATATTCTCCCTTGTTGCTCTTTCTGTTACACCAAGTTACAACTAAAGTTGTAAGTTTAGGGAATACAGATTATGTGAAGACAGGGATTGTGCATTACTATCTTAACATAGTATCACTACTGGAATAAAAATACATATTTCTATGAATAGTAATTTAATTTGTGCAACAAAGTAATTGGTTCAGACTCTTCCGATTCTTTAAGAATTTCATAATTTTAAGCAAAAGGAATTCTGAAATTTAAATGGTTCAGTTAAAAAATTGATAAGATTCAAGTTAATGCAATAGTGTTAGTATGATCTAGGCTGAAAACTTAAATTTCTAAGTCATGGTTTCTTGATTTATATTTTATACTTATTCATGTAGAAGATCCTCTCATTGTATTGTTAAATTCATTTGTTATCTTCCCAAAATTGTTAAATTCAATGCAATAGAGTTAGTATGATCTAGGCTGAAAACTTAAATTTCTAAGTTATGGTTTCTTGATTTATATTTTATACCTATTCATGTAGAAGATCCTTTCATTGTATTGTTAAATTCATTTATTATCTTCCCAAAATTGACATTCATGTTCAACTTGTGTATAATTTCTCTTAAAATCACATCACCAGATGGAAACCTTTTGGCATAAGAGGTAATTCATGCATCATCCATGTTGTGGAATGTCTGAATTAAAAACACAAATAAATGGTAAACTGTTTCATTAAGGAGTTTTTTGGTAATAAAGCTATTTCTTTTCACACCTAGTTAGTAATGTTTTTCATCTTATGGTTTGCCAAACAAAAGGTTTTTGCATCCTTTGGTTAGGTTTTCAATTGAGCTTCGTAAAAGAATTCTTTTTTATGGAGTTCTGTTTGGAAATGAAGATTTTAAAGCACAGATGGTAATTCAGCTAGTATATTTATTAGGAAATTTCATTTGCAATCAATGTTGTAAGACTCGGACTGGACACAGAACTGGAATGGCCATCAATTCCCAAGCCAAATGGTGCAGTGTCGAATTGTATAAATAACACAAAATAAATTTTGGGGGTTACAACACATGTCTAAGATGCGGCCAGATGGTTAAAGTGCTAGTTTTAGATTCAACTGCGCAGGGTTCAAGCCTTACAGTTTGCATTTTATTCAAAATATGTGTTGGACTAGTGGTAGCATGGTTACACACGACTAAGAGGTTTGAACTTCAAATCTTCATATTGACATTTTGAAAATTGTATCAATTTAGTGACCGGGGCAGGTTGTGAAAGCTGGTTGGATTGTTGAAACCCGAATGATTTTCAACAGTTCTTCTGGGTTTTGACCAATTTGACCGATTTTCCAGATTTCTAGAAAACTGGGTATTGAAAAACCAGAACGGCCTCCAGTTCCCGGGTCTGGTGGTCCAGCCGGCCATTCCAGTGTGAGTCTTACACTCTTTTGAAGAATGTAGTTTTTGACTGGTAATTAGGGGAGTGGTCCACTCCTTTATGGTCCAACTGAACTTACCATTCTTAGGAGCTATGAAAACCTTATCATTCTATGGTTGGGAAATCCAATATGGACAAGATGCATCATGAACTCATGGTTTATATTTAAAAGGCATGTTGCCTTCATTTTTCCTCATAATAAATCTTTATTTGCAGAGACCTTTCTTCCAACAAATTGACTGGTGAAATCCCTACAAAATTTCAAGATTTTCCAAATTTAAGTAACCTGTAAGTAAATGATCATTTAGAGTAAATTAATCTAAACTCAATTTCTCTGCATGCAAAATTCTGATTTTCTTCTTAAATGTTTTGCTCCTTTATTTGTTTATTACCTTTCCTTCATAGATTCTCTAATCACAAGATAGACATGATATTGTTTATGGATGTAGGTATCTCACAAACAACTCACTAACTGGATCTGTACCATCTTGGATCATTGACAACAAAAAATATATGTGCGTACTTTTTATTAAAATATTTGAATGATATTTTCTTTGTCTTCTTCCCACATATCACTTTCCTTTTATAACTAAATTCTCTTCTAGTTCTAGACTGGTATGCCCCCTTCAACTCCTAACCACGGCTCAAGCAATTATCCATTCCATCAAGGAATTCTTTACACTGACATTCCCTAGATCTATCCTGCAGAGATATATCTTACAACAACTTTACAGGATACTCTCCACAACCTGGTTGTGAGCAAACAAACGTGTGAGTTGCTTTATGAACTGGATTTGATATCATTTTTAAGTCAATACCCTTTTTTTTCTGTAAACCTACCTTTTCATATTGATTAACAGGAAAACAGTTGCTAGTTATTCATCTCCAGAAGGCAACTTGTAAGTCACCGGTTCCTTGGTTCACTTAACTCTGAAGCTGTACAAACGGAAAAATAAATGAATCTGATTTTTTTTGTAGAGTCAATTGGTGTTTGAAGAAGGATCTCTCATGCTCTAGCAAACCCAGATGTAAGTAGTTTCTCTCTATGAGATCTTCATGTTTTTATACTTCTGGTGCTTAGTTTAGAAAAGACTGTAGAATTGAATCACAATTTCTCTTGTGATTATGACTACCTATTGTTCATCTAACAATTGCAGATCATTCCTTGTTCATTAATTGTGGTGGTCCAAAGGTTGTAATTCATGGGGAGGAATATGAAGAAGACTTGTCACCAATGAGTTCATCTGCATTTCATGCCTCTAATGAAAGATGGGCTTGTAGCACCACTGGAGATTACTTATACAGTGATCCACCCAATTTCAAAGTCCAAGCAAACACTGCTCTGAATGTGACTGACTCAGAATTATACTCAACAGCTCGCCTTTCCCCTCTGTCACTCAAGTACTATGGACTCTGCTTACGCAAGGGAAGCTATACAGTGAAGCTCCATTTTGCTGAAATTATCTATACAGAAGACCGGACATTTAGCAGCCTTGGGGAGCGTATATTTGATGTATTAATCCAAGTGAGAGATTGGCAGATTCTCATCATTATTAATGAATATAGATATCATTTTTCATTGGTTATAATCTTCTGATAATCATTGCTCCTCTTGTTGTAAAATTTGTATATTGCTTCTTATTGCAGGGAGAGATACGCTTGAAAGATTTCAACATTGCCAAAGAGGCTAATGGTGTTGGTAAAAGTAACATTCAGGAATTTAAAGATGTTTTTGTTGACGGGAGCACTCTGGAGATTCACTTATACTGGTCAGGAAAGGGGACTACTGCCATTCCAGACAGAGGTGTATATGGACCTCTTATATCAGCTATTACAGTGACACCAAGTATGTATATACATTTGCCTGCTGGGCCCCTTGCTCTCTAGAAAACTTTTTCATAATGACAATTTTTATGTTGTAGACTTCAACCCTGATACTGGGCTATCTGTTGGAGCTATTGTTGGCATTGTAGCTGCTGCATGTGTGGTTCTAATATTGATTTTAGTAACTCTTCGGATGAATGGTTACCTGGGAAGAAAGGACCTTGAGGACAATGGTAAGAAAATTCATTTAAACTTGTGTTTTATAGATCAACATAAACTCCATAAAACCCATCTTTCCTGATCAGTTTTTCTTGTCTTTTTGGTGACTAATTCATATGACAGGGACTTTGGCTTTACTCATCCAGGATAGCATGTAGCTAACATTTTGTCATTTTTTGACTATATGTCATTTGCCATGTTTGAAGTGACCAACCTCTTGTACATGTCCATATATGATGCATATACATCCCTTATGCAGCATAAAAGATACGATGTATGACAATGCAATTTAAAAATGCCTACTTTATGGTTCAGAGTAAAGCATCTAGGGTTGGAATAGAGTGGGATCAAAGGGATTCTATCATATGAAATTATGCTGGTTGACTTGGGCATGGAGAAATGTGTATGAACTAATTGAATAATAACAATGATTTAGGAATAAAATTCAAGAATCATGCAGAGGATATGTCATTAAGCTCAAAAGTTAAAATAACAAATTTAAGAATGAAGAAAGCTTTGGGTCAACTGGGGGCAGGGTTGTGTTGTCATTTTCCTTTGCATTCTCGTATATCTGATTTTTCCTCCTTTTGGTCTTTCATTAATGAATCCTTGTTATTGATCAAAAATAAATATATAAGTTTAAGGAATTTAACCTATATTTGAACAATCATTAACATCACAATATGTTGTGAAAGGTGCATATGACATTGTAAACTCTTCAAATACGATTCAAAGTGCCAAAGAGCAAAAGCTTCTTTGAAACTTCATTATTCTGTGTAAACTCGTCTTGCATCACAATATTGTGTACATATACAAGTTTTTGGTGCTGGATATCCAGGTCCAGAGAAGCTCTATAAACTATTTGACTGCAAACGAAAATTTTAGTTGGACTTGAGGTAAGCCGCATTGAAACTTCTTATACAATTTACCTACTTTTGTGTAGGCTCAATTAACCATAGAGTTCTATCTATATACCAAAAGGGCATGATACCGTAAAAACTGATAACTAATAAATTGGTATCAGAAAAGTCGTAATCAATCAATCAATCACTATTCATAAAAATTCATGAGGGGGGAGGGTCTGCTTGGTCAAAGTTCTTCCAATACCAGTATCATACCCTTCCAGCATCATAGCAATTGCCTAAACCAAAACAGGAAGCGATCCAAAAAAAAAAAAGAAATTCCAGAACTCTATAAATGGAAAGAAAAAGAAAAATGAGAAAGTAACCTAGGATCCTACTTTTACTTAACCTAGGGAGAACAATAAATTTTCTGATATCTGTCTTTCACAATGTAGATTCTGAAACACTTAAGAAAGCAGAAAAAAATAAAAAAAAGGATATTGAAGTAGAACAGAGAGTCAAAGCCTACTACTAAGAGTTGAAGAGTCCAAATATAATTTGAGGAATAAAACATGCTAATTTCCATTACTGATCATATGATATCTTCAATTTGGTCTTAACTTTCTTATACCATATTCAGCAGTTCAGGTCTCATGATTTAGGCTGTTTGCAGGGTATCAAATGAATTTCGTGAGGTTAAGAAAATGAATGCAGCTGAACACTGTCTGGTAGGACAGAAAAAGAAAATTGCCTAAAGTAGAATGATGGACTTGGAAACTTAAATCTAGTGGATTTATTTGAACCATAAATTTATAATAGAACAAAAATGAAATAACTTTTTCATGCTATTGGTTTAGGTAGTTTTTCATGAAATATTGAAAGAAAATAAACTGCAGTATTTTTTGTAGATTATATTTAATTTGTGCAAGAATTATTACTGATTTTGCAGAGCTTGGAGGACTAGAGATACAGTCAGGTTATTTCAGTTTAAAACAAATTAAATCTGCCACTGGGAACTTTGACCCTGAAAATAAGATAGGTGAAGGCGGTTTTGGACCAGTTTACAAGGTAATCATGGATGGAAAATGGTTTTCCCCCCTTCTCTATTACCCCCATCAATTTCTTCTGATATCTTAACAGGACCTGATATGTCTAGCAACCTTGTGGTTGACAGCCCTAGCTAGGCATGTCAATGGGTTGGGTCTGGCTCAGGTAATGATAGACTTAGTCCCAAACTGGTAAGAAAACACATAGACCCAATCCTCACCCAGATCCTATAGGGTCTATAAGTAATAAACCAGAACTGGCATTATTAATCAGGCTTATTGGGTCAGACCAGATAAGCCTGATCATAACTGACGGTCATTCAGATTCATAAATTTTAAAATAAACCTATTATTTCCCTTGATCTAACTTTACAATTTATCTTGTGTATTCCCTATAAAATTGTAGAGAACACTGATGTGGGCCCCACAACTGTGGTCCCCACTGTGTTTGTAGGACAATATGTGTAATTATTTGTTTCAGTCATGGTAGTGTCAGTTGGTGGTTAGTTTGTTATTTCAGTTGTTATTTATTTTAGTTTTTATTTGCTTTATTTGTCATGTAAGTACTGAGGGCAGATCTATCCTTTCCCCTATGTACTGAACATAACCTATAAATACTAAGAGAGTGGCGGCGGCAGATCATTAGAATCTGTCATTTCTTTCAAACTCTAGGTGTTCAAGACTGCTATCAGTCTTGAGCACTAATAAATTTCAGGTTCGAAGAGGAGAGAAAGTATAGAGGAAAGAGGAGAAAGAGTAGTGAGAGAGCAGTAGAACACAAACTTTGAAAGGAAGGACAGAATCTCAATCATTCTGCCGCCGCCACTTCTATTTAATATTTATAGGTTATGCTAGTTACATGAAAGGACACATCTGCCCTTGGTATTTACACAACACATAATAATATAAAATTGAAAAATAAATAACAACTAGAATAACAGCAGCTAACCCTAGGATGACTAAGTACATTCTACCCTACGAACAGAGTGGGACCACAGCTGTGGGGCCCACATCAGTGTTCTCTACACTCTCCCTCAAGTTGGGAGTAAATGTTTATCATTCCCAACTTGGATAGATCCGGCTCTAGCTTCTTTCTTAACACAGCTTTAGTGAGGATATCTGCTAGTTGCATACTGGATGTGATGTAAGGGAGGCATACTTCTTGAGATGAGACCCTCTCTCGTACAAAATGTCGGTCAACTTCAATGTGTTAGGTTCTGTCATGCTGCACTGGATTATGTGCTATGTTAATAGTTGCTTGATTATCACAATACAACATCAGGGGCTTCTCATACTCAATACCCAACTCCTCAAGTAGAGATCTTAGCCATAGGATTTCAGCCACTCCGTTAGCCATGGACCTGTATTCTGATTCAGCACTAGACCGAGAGACAACACTTTGTTTCTTACTTCTCCAGGAGACAAGGTTACCTCCCACAAGGGCACAATATCCTGAGGTAGACCTTCTGTCATCAACACTCCCAGCCCAATCGACATCCGTATAGATCTCCACCTTCATGTGGTTATTGTTCTTGAACAGTATACCCCTACCCGGGCATCTCTTCAAGTAGGCTAAAATTCTTTATTCCACAAGAAGATGTGTGGTTCTAAGAGAATGCATGTATTGGCTGACAACACTAACAACATAAGTAATATCTGGCCGAGTGAGGCAGAGATATAGGAGCTTTCCTACCAATCGCTGGAACATAACYTTGTCTTCAAGAAGCTCCCCACTCTCTGCACTAATCCTGTGGTTCTGTTCAATGGGTGTATCCGTAGGCTTGACACCTAACTTTCCAGTTTCTGCCAACAGGTCTAGGACATATTTCCTCTGAGAGATAAAGATCCCTTGTTTGGATCTAGCAAACCTCAATACCTAAAAAATACCGGAGTACACCAAGGTCTTTCACCTCAAATTCTTGATGAAGGAGCTATTTAAGGGACTCAATCTCATGGCTATCATTCCCTGTCACCACAATATCATCAACATATACTGTCAGTAGTGTCAAGGAGGACTCTACCCTCTTGATGAATAGAGTATGATCTGACTGGGCCTGTACATAACCAAACTTCACAAGGGCTAGTCTGAATCTATCGAACCAAGCCCTAGGTGACTG